AGTTCCTCGAAGGTCGGTGAAGCCGGAGCCAAGTCAGGGTCCGACTTTGTGGGTTTAGTCTCACAAGGGAAAGGATACCAGGTCGAAGTGGCCATTTGTAACGAGACATACACCACTAGATGTGTTTTTGGACGCTTATCTCAAATCTGCTCTCCAAATCTGCGAAACGACTCTTTGAACGTAGTTATGAAGCGAGATAGTGCAGTGGCAGCGGTGCGGCTCAACGAACGAGAGGTCGTGAGTTCGAGTTCTTGGCGAGTTCCCACTTTTGCTTTTCTTGTGAACGTTGTTTAAGGGACTCTTATCCATGCTAAGTTATCAGCGATTGCCTATAGCACAAGTAAACAGAGCTGGCGAAGAGCTTCGAGCACTGTGCGCGTCATTTGCAAGTGACCGCCTCTGACACCCGTAGCGCACGCGTAAGGCAATTTCGTGCCAAGCAGATGCGATATTCGTGTTCAGCGCGTCGAAACACCCCTTTCAACATTTGGTCCAAATCTAAAATTTTGAGTCGAAAATGTGGGCAGTCATCTATCCATCAACCCACTGTCAGGAGCCTGATCGTGGGATTGAATTAAACTTTCAGTCATTATTGTGCGAAAGAGATATAGTTGCCTGCTCTACTTGCTCGTGCCATCCGAAGATTAATATGATATTTTTTCATGTACACGCTCGCTGCCCAGGAGGAGCAGGAGGGTAGTGGCTGGGGCTAGGGATAACACCTACGACTCATTGTAGACCGAGTTTCGAAATTGGGTCCAAATGTCAGCTTTCTAGAATTAAGCCTTCAAAGATAGTTTGGTCCGTTGAGCAAGCATCTCCCATTTGTTTAGCCCATCGTCGGATATACGTCACTTCCGTGGCGTAGAAACACCCGGCAGTGGTCGAAACATTACGAAAAAGTGGAATGCGTTAAACAAACCCCTCTAAACATGCGTTAGCTTTGGACGCAGTGAAAATTTCAACACTGAATAATTTTTTTATATTTAAATTAAACGCTAATTACAGAAAGCAAAAAATTCCATGCCCAGCAATCCTCCATACGTCTACCAACTACAAGAACAGCCGCCAACACTACCACTTCCACTCGGCCAAGCCGCCGCTGGAAGCCGAGCTCTGCCGGAGTCTCTTACAGTGGCTTTCATTCGAAACAACCTCCGTAACACTTTTCAGAGAATCGTTTCGCAAATTTGGAGAGTGGATTCGAGATCAGCGTCCGAAAACACATCTCTGAGTATAGTTTCCATTACATATGCCACCGTGTCGACATGGGTATCCTTCCGTGTTAGCTCGAGACGCCACGCCTAAGTCCACAATAGCTACATGCATGAACCAACACTCATCACTGCGTGCTCAAATTTGTCCATGGACAAGCGATTAACGAATGCTTCAACGTCCTTTTTCGCAAAACCGATTCGTGAAACTCGACCGACAACCAATTCGGAAAATTGTGTTAAGACACTCAAGCATACATTATACGAAGTTATACGAAAATACTGAGTTTGGAGAGCTGATATAATTCAACTAGCACGAAGAATGTACACAGGAACTCCGCATTGGCCGATGTCAGACTTTGCGATTGGAGCGATTTTGCACCAATTGCAGGAGCGACGGATCGCTTGAGCGATGCGAGCGACGGGAGATTTACCCCGCCGAATACCGATACACACGGCGCCGCTCGGTAAATCTCCCGTCGCTCGCAGTGTGAGCGACGGGAGATTTACGAACTGATGGCGCCGAATTATCGTTGGTCGGCGGTGTAAATCTCCCGTCGCTCGCATCGCTCAAGCGATCCGTCGCTCCTGCAATTGGTGCAAAATCGCTCCAATCGCAAAGTCTGACATCGGCCACTGTATCTTCGCCCATTAGTCGGCGAACTAGCACCGATCCTTCATCCAATTAGAAGAAAAAAGAACAGCGTTTGCTTTTTTTTTCGTCTTAATGGGGGATATTCTGCGAAGAATTTGAGAAAATATTATTGCTGGTCAAATTGGAAGGCAGCGATTACGATAGGTGCTGAGTTCAGAGGGACCGTGGACGTGCTCAATAGTGCAATAATGGCGAAATAAAGCTCAAAAATCCGTCAAGAATATGCAAAGTAGTTTCCCCTTAATTGCCCGTTCATTTTCGAAATGGATGAGCAGCGACAAGAAAGAAGCTTGCTCCGACGTATAAGCCTCGAGAGACCCATCATGACGCGCTTCCTTAGCACAGTCGCTTCCTTCAAGGAACTCATTTTGGCTCTCCTCACTTAAAGTAGCGATATTTCACTCTTCTGCTCCACCCAAATCTACCACATTTGGAGATTTCGTCTCCACACTCCAAATGCTGACGCTTAAACTCAATCCTCACATATGACACGTCCTTCGTCTGATACGCGGCCGCAACCACCGGTCACATCTTGGGAGAGTCTGAAACCCCACTTGACAACGCCTATGGAAAAGTCATACGATAAATACTACTTTTTGGCGGGGTTCCCTAGCGGTTCGTAAAAGCAAAAAAAAATACCTCAAGATAAGTTTCAAAGACCCGATTAGACTTAGAAGACTGAATGATGAACTATGTAAAAAATAAAAAATAGGTGGTGAAAACAGTTGAAAAACAAAAAAGGTAGCCGCGCATGCAATGTGGGAGCGGGTGGCAACCTTCTGCAAAAAAAAGAGACAACTGAGCATACGCGGTCGGAGCAACTCGGTCACGGACAGGTAACGTTTATTTTCGGTGGTGTGCCTGTAGTTGTGCAAGGGGACGTGCAGTCGCCGCGTGGCTTTCCTCTCAGCGAGGTATCCACCAGCGGCATCCGTCCACCCGCAACCTGACCAAATTGCACTGACCCACACTCCATCCTTTCACCCTCAATCTACCCACATTCAGTGCACCACAGAATTCACAATTGGCAAAATTCACCATCCCCGTGAAAGGGCGCAAACATGCCGCACGCTGCAGCGCAGTACTCCTTTAGCAAATAGCTTTATAGGTCGGATATTTTGCGATCTCTTTGCAGTTCGCTTGAGGTTCAAGAAGGAGAAAATACGAATCGAGCATGCAATCTTGGGAGCATGCGCCGTAAGGCGAGGAGGATGCGTCACGATTGTCTTCAAGTCCTTTTCTCTTACTATGGCTTGTTCATTCATCTTCTCCTTAATTCAATTGTTTCGTCTCCTTTTATTACTTTAACTTGAGCGTCTCTGCTCCAACTCTGCTACTGTGTGGCGTTTTTTTTTTGAACTGTGTCGAAACACTGCAAAATATGGTGAGAAAAGAAGTGATATATATATAGTATCGTAACGTGTACGACACGCATTGCAGCGTATGCGATCTAGGGATTTTGCGACAGTAAGATGGCAAAATCCCAGGTCAAGAACCATGACCTTACAGCGACTCAATTCTACAATCGGCGTTCGCAGAATCACAAGATCGCACCATCGGCACGCTGCTTAAGCGTTCAAATTAAGTGAAAATGTCACTAGAATGGAAGCTTCTGCACGGTCCGTAAATTAGGAGTGAGATTTGTCTGAAGAATTCTGTCTCGAAAACCGGAAGGATAGGCAATTCAGCTCTTTGTAGTGCTGTCTAGGAGCTCTCAGACATGCGCACTATTAGACCATCTGCTTTCTCTATCTGAAAGGCTTGGTTTTACCAGGACAGGCTTTCTAATTTCCCATGAAACTTAGGATGGAGGCCTAGGTAGATTGATAGAGTCAAGAACACTCCTCACAAATTAGAGAGCAAAACTGATACGTGAACTTTTCAAGCAAGTTGTGAGGTATCAAAGTTGGCAAGAAAAGCAGTAAAAAACTGTGGTTAAGAAATGACACAATGGCCACTTATCAAAATGTAAGATTCGCGATCAGGTGGCTTATTTACCCGTATAGGCAAAGCTTCAGAGGAAAATAAAAATGCTGACGTGGAATCAGCTCGCCTCATATAGTGACGCCTCACTTCCTGCCAACTTTGACCGCTCAAAACTTGCTTGGAAAGTCCACGTAGCAGTTTTGGTCTCCATATTTGCTACCAGTAATCCTGATCTTATCCTCTCACTCAGGTACGGACAAAGTGCCTTGGGAAGGTGAGAGTCTTTCCTGGTTAGAAGTACACAGAGCGTATGCTGTTCCATCCACACTCTCACGCTCTGGTTGACAGAAGCCTTGTAACCAGTGAGACTCTTATGTAATTCAAGCGATGTGCGCTGCAGACACCACATCTTAACTGCTGACCTTGACTCTCTACTGAACTTATTAGTTGTTTAGTGATAGATCAAATAAAAACAAAAGAGGCGAGATACATACACAACGGTGTTACTCAATGGTCAGCTTACCTTGTATAGGTTTCTTCCGCCATACAGAAAGAAGTCAAAGTCTGAAGTGATACATCCATCAACGAGGCCAGCCTGCTCCAACTGAGCACACTGGGCTTCTCCATCGGAACTACCCATGACAACAGGAACACCCATATTATTAAGAAGTTGCTATAAATAATATACAGAGATGTTATTTGCATTTGATCCCTTGTATTAGTGACTAAGAGAGAACAGTGTGTCACATACCTCCGCATTATAGACCCGTTTCTTCAACTCGTTATGCGCATCAAGATTCCACCCGTTACCGCCACTACGTTTGGACTTCTTTATATGCGAATTTCCACTACTCGACTGTAAAATATTAACATCAAACACAGAAGTAGCTGTAATAACTCAATAAAAACTCACACAACTATTAAATTCAGGAGAAATCATGTCGAAAACAACAACTGGCCGAATTCCTACTTCCTGCAGTCGTTGAATTCGATTGAAGAATGTGACCAGATATGACGCTCCAGACATGAAGTGATTCGCACAACCTCGCGACGACTCGTAAAGCCAGATATGGCCATCTTAACAAGGATCCCTCGTAACTAATTAATGATTGTATTTAAAGAAAAACGAAACTACCCCTCGACGCCAATAGTTACAGTTTCGTTTCAGTTCAAAATTTTCATCACACCCTGTATTATAAATACTCAGAGAAATGAAGCAGCGCGCGATGAATAATGAACGCGCGTTGAACAGCTGAATTAATATGATTGATTCGGTTTCTTAATGATTCTTTTTTCGCCGTCTTCTCTAGATCAATTTTGACACATTGAGCTCGCTGGAAAAAAAAGACGCAACGTCCGAGGAAACAACTAGAATAAAATGATCAAATACTGATTCATAACGAAATAGGCTATATAATCACAAGATAAAGCATTTCCCGCTTCTGAAATTCATAGCCAGGGTCAACCATTACTCTATGAGGTTACTATTAGATGCTACTTCAAAACTCGTGCTTCTCATTAATTCCTACAATTTCCAGACGCGAACTGATCTAACTGTTGTGCTGCTCTGAATGCATCGCGCCTTTTAGCGATGAATTCAATACAAATATCAGAAGACGCACTAGTCTACTACTACCACAGTAACCTACTTCTTATTGCAAGTGTATTTCCTATCTGTTTGAGGCTCGGCAGATGCATAGTATCACCCATTTACGACGGAGCCCCTTTGCTGTCTCTTCCGACAGGCTCAACAGTACGTTGTGCATTTCCCAACAAGGAGGGTCGTATTTGAGCTTGGTGCAGGACAAAAGTTTGAGAAGGTCGTTTCGGAAGGCGAAGGAGTCGTGGTCATGGAGTGGAGAGATCGTGTTATACAGGTTTTGGTAAGAACTTTTAGAAAGAAATGCGAAATAGACGAAATTAGAAAGTTCATCGGTTCTGTCCATTGCTCACCCCCTCCTCCCCCGGCGGTCGTTTTGAAGAAAAGTGGCGGAGCTTGGGCTGTGTCGACTAGTCTCAGACTCGAATACTACAATGGTGAGCGGGGGCATATCGAGACCCCTCTAAAGAGGGAGGATCACATTTTTGGAATTGTAACAACGGACGGCTCTGCTTAGGAATCTTTGCCATGCTTATCTGGAACCGACAATTTTTTGTTTTCAGGCTGGCATAATTCGATAAGAATTTTTGACGCTACTCATAACTATGCTACCGTTCTTTCCAACTCGAAAACTGAAAATTCTAGTCCACGGTAGCCATATTTCATATCCATTTAGAACGAACAGCTAATGCGTTACAAATAACACCCCCTCCCGTTGCGCGGATATCACAAGGCACTAGAAAGCGACGAAGCTATAACGACTTTGCACGCGGCTCATCAGATGGCAAAAGCCAAATCGCTACTTGCGGCAACACATCTTGCGGCCCTTAAGCGGCATTTTATAAGCGTCACTCTTCAAATCTGATGTTTCACCGACCAGCCCAAGAATATGCTGCGGATGGGTAGCAATTTTTAGCTTTTTTTGCAACGACTCCGAAGATGAGCCCACAAGCGCAATTTAACGAGCACGCAAAAAATGTGAGAAGTTATTAGATTACTTTCTTTTCCAAAGATGGGATTGATTTTACCCACTCCCGTTTAGTAGCGATAGAAAATGATCACAAACATTCTATAATGGCCGTCTGGCCGTCTTTCATGTTCTTTTCCCGCGCAAAACCAGCCTTACGTTCCCAACGAAGACGAAGGAAAATAAAACTTCTCATGAAATGTGGATGTTGGGATGAAGTGGGTTTGGAAGATGTACAAAAGAACGCTGGCCTTCCAAGGAACGCTAAAATTAAGGCCTTGACCTCCAGTAAGGTCGGATGTAGTACGGCGGCGAGACAGGGCGATCAAAGAAGACAAAACACGCGAGAGAGCACGCCGTTCGAGAGAGCGCGCTGATCTCCACATCAATGCGGTGGGTGGGAAGCGTTGCAATAAGGGCCGATGGTTGCAGCCCTTAACGATTAGCGCCCTAACCGCGCATTTTGTGCGACGAACGTGGCACGCTCCCTGTAGGGAAGAACACTACAAGTTGCCTCATGATTTTCTTCCTTCTACTGATTCGAATCCCGAGGATTGCCTTTGAAGACTCAGCCTTGAAGGGGAGGGGAAGCCCGGGGTTCGTGAGCACATGAGCTTGGTTTTTTTTTGGGAAGTTCCCCATCCTTCCTATACACTCCAAGCTGCTTACTAAGTAGAGTGACTTTTCATAAGACGACTATGTGATAAAACAAAGGAACAAATATATTATATTCGAAAACAGAAGAAACAACGTAGGAATAAAGCTGATAGCAGCTCGTAACTTAAAGGACTCCTTGAGCCAAACTGGCATTAGAGCAGATTGTGCACCGCAATGCCCCCTCTTACCGCAATAGACCCCAGGCAATAGACCCGCAATAGACTATTGGACTATTACAAGCCCACTGAGGGTGAGATGGACCAAAAAAATTTTCGCTGAAACTTCGCTATGGGGGTTATCGAGGGTCCTGATCACGAATATGACATCCATTTTTGGCGCTGGCGCCAAATTGGCGCCATTTGGCGCCAGCTGGCGCCACTACTGATTTCACCAAATTCGCTGTAAACTTGTGTATAGGGGTTATTTGGGGTCCTGATTACGAATATGACATTCGTTCAGGCCATCCGCGCTGTTTGACGGTTATTTCCTAATTCTCTCACTTATAAGCCTAGAACAAGCTTATGGTTAGTGTAGGTGAGGCGCCGGAATGGGAAAACCACGCACGGTGTTGCTGAAGTTCAAGTGTATGGCAGGGTGAGTGGCTTACTCACTTTGGAGCCCTCCACTCTCAAAGGCTTAGTCCTGATTGCGATCTAATTAGTGCGAGGGCGCAGACGAGCAGGAAATAGGCGCCGAATAGCGCCAACAAAAACAAGTGTCATATTCGTAATCAGGGCCCCAAATAACCCCTTCACACAGTTTACACTCAATTTGGTGAGATTCTGTCCTGGCGCCGAACGGCACCAATTTGGTGCCAGCTCCAAAAATTGATGTTTCTAACCCCTCTCGCCCCTACTGGGATTGTGATAGTGCAACAGTGCCGACCCGGGACCTGTATAGCAGTAAACGGCGCACCTATCTCATCCAGGGAAACGCTAGCCCTGATGAACGCCACTGCCGTGGCGAGGGCCACTTCCAAGTGGAAGATTTGGGCTTTAGTCGAATGATGATACGGTATGATCATATTTTGCTCTACATTTTAGGAATGTGTTTCATGCTACATGCGTTCCTTTAAATTATTCTAAGCGATGCGTTATCAATAAAAGACGATGTTATATCAATAACGACAGATGTTTGCTGGCACGATACCGATTTCCGGGTTTAGCACGTGCAAACGAGCTCGTCCTGTTCGGTGGTCATTCAAAGCGGAAAACGGAGGCAAAAAAGTCCCATTTCTTAGTTTAGGCCGTTTTCTCCAGAATTCTCCTTAACCAGCGACCCTGTACCCCTCTAGTTCAGCTCTAAGGAGCATCAGATTTTTGGTATCATGTGCATTTATACACAGTAGTATGATAACTTCCTAATTTTGCAGAAAAACTCACCGATTCGCTAAGGTCTTGCTTCGTAATGTGGACGTCGGAATTTGTTCTGCATACTTTTGCATGTGCTCCCATATGCCAGTCACCCCCATTTTGCTGAAGTTGCCCAGCACTGGCGAGCATTGAGTGCACACCGCTCACGACTCCGCGTAACCTCAAACATAACATTTGAGCACTGAGAATTAGTGGAAGATGGTGACGATTTGGAAAACCGAAACGAAACAGAATCAAATCAATAGGCAAAGCTGATGACTAATCAGAAAAACACCACAGCTACGCGTTAAACAATTGAGAGGGCGCTTGAGGCTTCCGTCGAAGTCACGTGAATCGAGGACGGGATGCCTCCAGAAACCACTTTCTCTGTATACAGTGATCTATCCTTGTGATAGCATGGCCAGACTGGAGTTCTGCAGAAGTATTCGAATCAGACATAAATACCCTTATTGCCACAAGGCACATTTTCCTTCTACCGTTTCACGGTGCCCTAATCTTCCCATTATCCGCACTGTTCCAATTTAGGTTCAGGAAAGAAAAGGCGGAGGCACGGATTTGGTGGGCAGCGCATCTCAGGGTTCAGCTCATAGTCAGAAATATAACAAATCCCACTCAGATCAACTTATCTATCGACCTCGGAAACGGAAATTGGCATCAGAGACGTGAAAATAAGAGCACTGCTATGCATGAGCTTTCACACCTCCCGCAGTTACTGAACAAGTCAACTGCGCATTCCACCACTGCGTTGCGAGTGAAGGCGGAGAGCGTGGCGCGACTCCGCAATGGTTGACCAATTTCAGGCGCGTCGCACATTCAATCTTACGTCATAAGGCGACGAAACTATTGATAGTATGCGTGATACAAATAGATGCCTAAAGAGGAAGCTTTATGCAGCGTAGGAACATAGAGATGTTTAGGAACGCTTTTGACAGAGACGAACTCTTCGAAGCAGCGTATCTCATCTGACAAGAGCCACATTATGAGAAACATGTTAGATGCAGAAGAATTAATCACATATGAAGACTAATGTATCCGTTTAAAAAAGAGGGACACCGAGATTACAGCAAAGAGGCTTGAAACACATTCGATTTGATTGATTCTGCTTGTTTAATCCAACAGAATTTGCACTGTGACATGCAGTTAAGCAACAAGACCCCGAAGTCCTTGTACTTTCCTGTACTGAGTGTTAGTGATAAATCAGTACGCTTTGCTTCTGATAATTGAAGAAAAAATCAGTTTATGACGGCTTGTTTTCCACACATCAAACCCATATCCTGTTCAACTTTAGCACATCCAACTTGAGAGTGGGTGTGGTTCGTTCGATCAAAAAGTGACACTTTCGCGCTTCGTAGCGCAAAACAGTTCTCGCTGCGAGAGTCTCATGTCCACCGCTGGGCCCCCAGACAATACCTAACCATTTGGGCGCGGCC